ACTGCTGGAGCACACTCCCACTCCCACAAATCATCCATTGAAGTGGAGTGAGTGAAAACCACCTGTCTGGTTAGGTTTGGTATTCGGAACAAATCATCCGAATCCACATTGGCCCATGATGATTCCAGGGAGTGTCGTGTACTAGTAGCTCCTGGCATTACTAGTAGGAAATAACTATCAGGGAATCCAAATGTGCACGTTCGCACAAAAAATCCGTGCATCCGGCCTTTTTTGTCAAATGGACAAAATTTCTGGAATTCCTCCGAATATTGGGTTTGATTTGGTTTTATCAATATAATTGTTTGGGCTTTTGTCGATAAAATGTTGATAAAGTTTGGGTTTCATATGGGTACGCTTTCGTACGGTATTGTTTTTTTTGTCCATACGGCTAAATACGCGAATTCGTTAATTAAAATGTCCATACGATAAATTCTGTCCAAATACGGCCTTCGCATCAAAAAAAGTGTTCATACGCCTTTCCAGGTACTACCAATAATGACTATTAATGCCCTTGTTACGTTCGTAGCACAGGTCGCCCATCTCACACATTTGAAGGTCCATGATGTCGAACCCATCCACTTCGAACGTCCCTGTGGTGATTGGGGGAACGTCCCTGCGGCGAGAAAGAACGGGAGAAGAACGGGTGTCCACTGCGACAACCTCCTCGATACAGAAGGGCATTAGCTGTGCATCTAACCACCCAATAACGGTGTCCCCTATGGGTCTCCCAATCTGTTTGGAGTGGATGGGGCGGGTGTTGGAACCCGAACGAATAGGGCCAGGACCAACCGACTCTTAGGAGGGACTTCTTCACAGAACCTGCATCCTACACCTGGGAAGAGACCCTCATGGAACCTGAAAATATGGACCTTTGGAAGAGTAGCTTCTTCCACAAACCGAGTGGTTTTCAGCTTCCATGTGAGTCTCTTCCAGGGCGTATGCCCATCATATCGCAAAGTGAATCAGGTCTTCCAGGTTTTGTGCCCGCCTCTGGTCAATGTTTGTGTCCCATGCTGAGTCTGGTGACCAGCTCTTCCCAAGAGTTCTAGTTTTAAAAGATTCAATTAAACACAGTGAGGTGAGTCTGGTGAAACAAGGTCCTCCGGACCCTTCAAGGTTCCATCCAACAGGGCTCCAGGCTCACATCCTCCAAGACCTCCTCATCAGGGAGCTCCTCATCACTTATGCCCCACTGGGGGCAGAAGTGCACGGTGAAGTTTTCGGGTTATTTTTTGGTGTTTGGTTTAATCTGCTCTGGCTGTTGCGTGAATTGAAAATGTAATTTTGCTCTTGCACTTCTAAAGGTTTCTCTGGTGGCTTGAAGGCGCTTGATCTTCCAGCTGCTATGAGAGGCGTTGTTTCAAAGTTGCTTATTTGTGTTTGATTTCTTGGCATGTGGACGCGGCGCGGCTTTAGGGGCAATTGGTCGGCCCTACATTCTGGCGCAGCCCCCACCTTTTGAGCAGCCTGTTGGTTGGGGAGGTGCTCAGGGCTGGTGACCTGACGGCACAAAGTTTGTTGGCATTTGGATTGAAATTGTCAACGCAACACACGCAACAAGAGTTGCCACACGCGCAATGGCGTTGAATGCCAATGCTTCATACTCATGTTCAGGGGCTGCCTACCCACAAGTTGAAAATACAATGATTCCTGGACAGCCTTGGAACCAAAACGACTCAGGATTTGTAACCAAACTGGTTCTTCCTGGATAGGCAGCCACGTGGCGAAACTTGAGCTGGATCTGCTTTAGTTCTATGCACGGCCCTGTTGTTGGGCAAGTAATTTTCAAAAATCTATCCTGCTTGCCTAAACTTGGGTCACCCAAGATGCACATGTTTGAAAGCACGTTGGGCGTTTGCTTGCTTGCAAAGAATGCCGGTGAAAACTGCAAGCACGCCAAGTGGAGGTCGAAGCACAGAGGGCAGCTGTCTTTGCAATTTGTAGAAATGTGACAGGTACTGTACAAGTGGGACGACGTAGCCAACAGCACACCTTGGAAAGGAAAGTGGTTGACTCCCAAACTTGCCACGCTCTCAGGCCGTCGGGCTGAGGCTTGTTGTCGCTTCGTTGACTGGCTCCCTACCTGACTTCAACGTGCATGTTTAGAAGGAGCATGCATACAGTTTATGCATTTTGATCCTGGCAATTCTACATCTTGAGCTTGGCAAGCTGGAACTGCCGCACGCACTAGGTGCATATCTAGACTCACTTGGCTTGCGACACCTGTGTGTGACTTGAGAACACTTGACTGAGAAACTCTGGCCACGTGAGTGACATAGAACCTGATCCTGAAGTAGAACGCCTCAAAAGCTCTCGAGCAAGGTTGCAAACCTAGCTTCGTTGCAAGAAAGTGTTGGCGAAACATCCCACAGCAGAGTCAATACCTGCGGGACCTGACGTCAACTGTGCCTTGGGCTCTTGCACCCCTGTGCGTGAAGATGCGTTCGGCACATACACAATGGGTGCGCGTGAACGGCGGCGCTGCGCAAAAGGAAAGCGGTGCAGCTTTAGAAGAGGACTTGCTCAAGAGCAATTGGGGCAAAAGGTCATGGCGCAGGTGGGGAGGCACACCCTTTAGTTTTCAACGTGCTGTGCAGGCCCCACCAACAAAAACAACCCGTGCCACGTGTGAGAAACATCCTTGACAGAGTGCAGTTTCAACGGAAGGTGCAAATCAGCAGCAGCAGCAGCAGCAGGAGGAGGAGTAGTAGTAGTAGTGGTAGTAGTAAAGGAAAGTCAACTGGAAGGAACACAAACCAAGAATAGCATTAAAACACATTGTTTAAGAGGGTCAAAAAAGAAGAATAAAAAAACAAAAACAACATTTCACTGTAACTTCGTTCTGCGAAAAAATAGCTCTAACATCACGGTGATTCCGAAAAACCGTGTGACAGCCGCCAGGCGGCGACTGTGATGGCACCGATTGGCCAGGTGATCCGAGTGCCTCCTGTTGAGATCAATATGGAAACAAGGCAGATTGCATTTTTTGTTTGGTGATGCGTTGATTTATTTTTGCATCTTAATTTTGATTTTGTTAATGTCTGTTATATAATTGTTGATATATGTTTTTTCACATGGATTCTTAAAGTGTTCTTTTCAGGGCTTTTTTGGCTTCGCTCGTCACACCTCACCGTCTCAACTGTTGGTGTGACAACCCCGTTTCCGTAAAGAATCCAACTTCATATATGAGTAAGGGACAAAGTCGATGGTTTGGGTCTATCCTATTATCTGTAACAGTGGATGATGATGGTTAGTAAAGGCCTTGTCCAAAAATAGTGATTTGCTTCTTTACTGACTGTTACAGTACTAGGACAGACCCAATCTATGGTTATATAGGATAGGATATGTTACTGGCACCCGTTGGGGAAGAACCCAATGGTCGGCCCCCCTTGTCCGAGATACAGGCGAAAGGAACCGGTGGGCCCAAGGATGTTGTCCAACCCTCGTATCAATACAACATACTATAGCTTCTTGTCCCTAGTAGCGTCTTTGTTACTAGTAGCACGGCCAGGAGCAGCCCCCCGTTCGTAGCGTCCTTGCTCACCTTCGAAGCCAACCATGAAACTTCCACATGCCGCATGCCTCCACCAAAATAGCTGAGACCCTGCAGAAAGAGCCTCGGAAAAGGTTGAACCTTACTGGGTCTGTTGACGGATGTTCCAGTCGAATAATGACGGTGGTTGAGCATAGGAAGATTCTCTCCCCGCGGAGCATGCTGAGCGCTCCTTCACCTTGGGGCGCTCTGGCGTTGACGCCTTTTCCGCAGCGCCACCATTGAGAGCATCATCCACTGGCATCCTTGGGCACCGCACTAGGTGCAAAGCTGCTTGGCCGAAGGTGGTCTTAGGTCATTTGACAAGCTTTGTTTCCTCATGTGGGAAGGTATATAGTCAGGGTTGGCTTGAGAAAAGACCGATGCAAATGTCTATGACATTGACAGATTTGGAAGGAGTCCAAGCTCGTTCTCACAGGTACCAGGTACAGGTAGCTCTTCCGAGTCAACCTTTGGTAGTAAAGCTTCGGCTTGTTCAGACTTGAAGCCTTCCAGGACCCTCCGGGGAACCTCCCGGTCCCACAGTTGCTTCAGTTCGTCAGGTCCCACGGTCACACGGACCAAGGTCAGATCCTCAAATGGCCGAACACGCGAAAATGGACACCCGCAACGGTGAAGACGAACCATGTGTGGTGACTCCTCCAATTCAAAGAACGACCACATCCCTATGTCGCATCCTGGGACTTTCCATGTTGTAATATGGTTGACATTTGGTGGTTCTTGGTACATGGCCCACATGGAGCGTTTGGGGTATATGAAGGGCCCTGAATGCACCCCAATGTAGGTAAATCAATCCGATGAAATACGGCATACATATGGATCATACACATGAAGCCCTTTGGGCATGCAAGGAAAGCCCTGCCAACGTACCCGGACCCGACCGCGACCGCCTGCACGCCCAGCGACACCGATGGGCGGGACAAACCGCGCTCCACACGCCCGTCGATGCTTAGAGGAACACGGGCGAGGCATGGGGTGTCGACGGGGCGAGTCGAGACCGATGTGGTTCGTGCCCTGCGCATCGTGTCCTGCGCATCGAAACTGACACCTGCCACGCATCCAAGACTCATGTGCGGTCGAGAAATCGTCCTGACTGTCAAGTGAGGTGTGTTGGTATGTGTTGGTGGCGGTGAGAACTCTTCTGGTTGACTTGACTTCACTGGTTCTATAGAAGTGGATGACCCTAAACCGCAAATCACGTTGAACGGACAGTCTATGGGAAAGAGCTTCCACTAAGCCATCTTTCCTGGCTTCAAATTTTAGGACAGAACACGGCAGAATTCATAGCAAGTGCCTTCATCACTGGGACCTGCCATCAGCCAACAACCAATCTCCTCGAACGTGTGTTCCCCAACTCGAGAACTGGCTCCTGTCTCTGAAGCATCTGGGTCTGGACTCCAGTGGTCCTACTAAACTCCCAAGGTAACGCAAGAAATCCATGATACTCCCCCAGGCTAACATACGGGCCGTCTACAATTGAACACGAGATCTGTGCATCTCAGGATCCTCTTCCAGCCACTTCGCCCTCTTTGAACCGACCCGGTGCAAGGCACTCCGCGACGCTTTTTCTTCGCGATCGGGACGCTTCACTCGGCCATGGTCTTGGTCTTCATCAGGATCAGTCCTGGGCATTCCACGGCTGCAGTGGCGCAGCCACTGGCGGCAGCAGTATGCTGCAGCCGTGGCAGTAGTATGCTGCAGTCACATGTTCCTGCTACGATTTTGCAAACATCTTCAAAATACATACCCGGCTTTACAAACTATCGATGGAGGAAAGCTGTCTGATTCCATAGCTGATGGTCTTTGGATGTCTTTGGGATTATCCGGCACGGTGTAAACAGTGCCGTGCTTTTGGACCTCAAATCGATTCAAAACGAATGATGCCTGGCTCTTTCTCAGCACCATGAAGAAGGACCGCAAATATGTTGATCTCCTTTGGCAGTATTGTGGACCAAGGCGCCATGGAGGGAGGCGTTCCCCCCGAACTTGGGCCTCAAGAAGTACCTGCCAAGTGTTCCTGTTTGGTCTGTTGGGAGGATGCAGGGTTGTTGGGAGGTGCAAACATGCCTCTTAGTTTGGCTGTAGGGGACCGTTTGGGACCCTCAATGATGTAAACATGGGACCTTAACTTGGAATTTGGAACCACTGAGAAATGGACGTCTTCACTTGGTGGTTGAAACCATGTTTCAACGGTTTCCTTTTTCACGTGTCCTCTGCAAGATTTTTAGCTAATCCACACCCCTTGGCACTAGTGCAATTTAAAGCCTGTATGATCTGTCTCTCGTTGCACCTTTTAAGGATTCACCAATTTTTGCTCCTGCGCGTGGTGCAACAATTGCTGTACTTCCCTAAGGCCCACGGCTGTTCCACCAGTTCCAAGTGGTCCAAGGCCGTCCTAAGATATCTTAGATCATGTTAGGACGGCCTAAGGAATCTGACTTCATATCCCAGACACTCCATGGGACTGCGATGCCGCCCCATTGACCCCTCCCAACCACCACCCCGACGGCCCTTTTTCGGCAGTCCGATGGCAGTCCATAGGAATCTGTCGGCATATTTGCGAATCACATTCCGTCTCGTCACGGATCCGCATCGCTCTTCACATCCCGAAGGCGCTCGTCACCTCACTCGTCCACCGGTTTGACCACCCGCCTGCCGATGCCCTTCTCGTAGTCCCAGAGCGCTTCCAGGGTGCCCGGTCGGGGGCCTCCATCGTCGAGGGGTGGTGGAAACGTGGCATCCTCCATGGGCAAACGCTACAACATCGTGGAGAGGAAACTGGAAAACAGTTGTGAAACAACTTGAGAGCTGAGGCTTTGAAACACATCAAGTCCGTGGCACATCCAGCCCCAAAACCCAACAAAGCAGGCATACGACCCCTGATGCCGACCCACCGGGTGTGTCCGCCCAGCACCTCCGGCCGTCCAGTAGCACTTCCCCGAGTCGGTGACCAACATATGGGTCCCCCAGGGGTAAGGCTTGATGACCTGCGCTCGCATCCGTCGGACAGAGAGGGAAAACCAATTCGCGGAGGAGATGGACCGTTGGGACAGCTGGGAAACTGTTGGGAGTCAGCGGCGTCCAGATGAAGCATTGAACCACCAGGGTTGGCATTCTCAATGTCCACAGCTGCCTTTTGCCCCCGGTGACCTGTTGCTTGACAGGCATCTGGACAGCAGGCCGTGCAGACCTGGCCTAATTGATTCTTTGCATTTGTATACAATTGCCGCCATTCAGTTGAGGGATGTTGAGGGAGCGTTCATCTGCCTCATTCTGAGGGCAACTTCAGTTGCTGCCGCCAAAAAAAACTGTTGCGTGTTATGACACAGCGAAACCAGCGACTTGCGCAGGGCGTGACTGGATCTAAATGACCTATATAGACCAATCGCTGATCAGGTCGTTTCTTCTGGCCGTCGTGCGCAGGGCGTTTCTTGTGGGGGGTTTCTGCAGGCATGCACCTCAGCCACCACCTTCTCGTTAGGCTCCGCGAGTTCCCAGCCAGAGGGCAGGGATTTCCACTTCCTTGGGGCGGATGGAGGGAAGTGAGCAATCTCAGTCCAAACGTGATCAAAGGCAATCTTGCACACAAAGAACAAATCCTGGCCACCTGTCCAAACAGGTCGAAAATGGTTCACTTTAAGATGCTTGAAGGGTCCTAAATTTGATCAATAAATCCTGAAAAATGGTAGTATTGTCACACTGTACACTCGGAGGGGTATCCCATGGTATCCCGTTCTATTCATCAAAAAACAGAGCGCAACTGCCCTGAAACCGTACAGCATCCAAGCATCGTCACAGACTCGTCAGTGCGTGTCTTGTGATTGTAGCGTTCCTGGCAGCCAAGATGCCAGGAATTGCGACAAACATCATCAACATAGCACCATCAAGCACCCCCTCCACGGGGTCTGAAAACAAGAAGCCCTGTCCAAGAGGAACATACCATCCGCCGTACCAAACCGTGCCCAAAACATCTAACTTCTCAGCGCTGTGCCCCGGCACGGTGCATGGAGCGACTTCGCCAAGCAGCAGGTGGCTCGTGAGACCAGGGTGGCAAAGCGTAAGGGCTCGAGAACTCCAAAGTAGCATAGAGATAGCCGTCCTGAGATGGAGACCAACTCATCCCAAAGCCATCTGAGAGACTTTTTGGGGGTCTGATCATGTCTGATCTTTCTATAGTTTTCTCATGTCTCCGTCCATCCCTCAGTTTTGACGTTTTGGTTGGTCTCAAAGACTTGGGAACCGATTTCGATCAGTCGGAAGCCTCCAAGCTCCTAAGCCATCTACACCAAGAACCAAGAGCCAGCATGCCCTTCAGTTAGGCTGAACATCCCACTGGCCAAGCCCCAAGAGTGGCGTTGATGGCGTGAATGGCGTGAACATGTCCGTTCTTTTGCGCCATGTTGGCCCCTCCTACGACTCACCCTTTGATCAACATGCAGCATTCCATCATCCAAGCAACAGGACATATACTTATTGCACACCACAAATGGTACCAATCAGGCAGAACCTTCTTCCAACAAATTCAATGCAGCTCCGGTGGTGATTCAATCCCAAAGCGAGTGGCTCATGAGCACTGCGCACCTCCTATGCGATCCGCTGGATGACTGCCTCATCTTTCATGTCGTCCCCTACTTCCTCTCTCCACCCTTGGACCCCACACCGACCGGCCCTTCCGAACAGGGCACGCAAGGAATGGACTTCGATCGCTGCTCCTCCGTCACCGCGAAGGGCTTCCGGAAGGGGTTCGTGTCCTCCGGTCTCGGACTGCAGGAGCGCCCCCGCAGTCCGAACACCCGCGGCACCGGCTCTTCGATCGCCCGCCTGGCAGCTTGCGTCGGTCGTTGGAGAGAATTGCGCCGGGCTTTTCTTCTTTACAAGACGCAGCTTCGGGGGTTTGGCATCTCATGTGCTTTATGGATGTTTCTGGTACGACAAGGGGGAGGGCACCTGACACCTCTGTGTCATAGTCCCATTCATCGGGGATTTCCATGATCTCAGGTTTGAACATGAAGCTCTGCGATCCAAGTTTTCACAGTTATATACTCAGTTCTCCCGCGGCTCACGCATTCCAGCCGATCAGCTTTAGGTGTGCCTTTTTCAAAACCACCGCTTTCCTCTTGGCGCATTCCTGCAACATACACCAATTGTTCCATGATATTTTATCTTGTAAACACCCCAAGCTGAGAACATCTGAGAACAAGCCCCACTGCCCGGCAGCACAGCACCAAACGTGTCGCATGGACGGAGCAGCACGCCGCACTAACGGCTCGCGGCCATCGTGGCCGCGGGCGTTTTTCCCGCGGCTCCGGCTGCGGCTCTCCTGAGGGAAGGGCTGAGCGAAGGAAGCCCCCCCGACCCGACTGGAAAGCTAGACCAGCAGTTCCCATGGAGTGGGGGTGCCGAACTGGGAGGATAGGGAGAGGGATTCCCATTATTCACTCACATAATAGTGACAAAAAATAATTCCTTTATAAGGAGCTGTTGGTAGAACATGTCCTCACGTACCCTTTGTTGGGGGGTCCACCTGATGTACCTGTACCTCGGCTCGTCGAGAATGCCTCGGGCCAAATGTGTCAGCCCTCTGACATCAAGTGTACGCCTGTACGCAAGATTGCTGCAAGATTGAAACTATAAAGGATGAAGAGGACAAAGGAGGGACTTGGGACTTGGAAGATGATGTTTCCCAGCGACATCGAAGGCCCCCAAATCCAACGAGAGCGATTCGAGCCCACCTTGGTTCGAGCTCTGCTTCGGCTATCCATCCTGTCGCATGAAAGCTCAGTTCTCAGTGTTGTGAGAGTCGGGATGGCATGGGTGAGAAATGGTGTGAACTCAACAGCTCAAAGCAGCACCACCCAAAGGGTTGTTATTGGGTGGAAAATGCATCTTCAGACGATTCAGGCGGGATCTATAAAACACCCGACCTGGGTGGTGCTGGTAGCTCATCATAGCTCCAGGATGCTCCAGGTTGCTCGGTGGAGTGCCACAAGTGGCTCACCAGTGGCGTGCGCCGCTCGCCACGCCGATCGTCTGATCTTCAGACCCCGGCGGCCCCGCAGCGCTCGACCGTTCCGGCCAGAATCGAGTGCATGAAGGACGCCAACCAAAAAAGGACCGTGGAACATGGACGAATCCAAACGAACTGGCTATAGGGAGCTTCTGAATACTATTCCTTCTGACAGCGGCGGACCAAGACCATAGTGGATTCTCCAAGAATAGATGGCACAATCCCCCAAAATGCGGGGTCTATAATTTATTATGGTTTATATGGAGCCCTATATCAAAGACATCTTGGGGTGCCAGTGCCATCTATACTCTCAACCCACTGCAGTTACAGGGGTCCTTCCATTTTTACATAGTACACACCCATCCCCCGTCCTGGGACGGCTGCTGCTGCGCCATCGGGCTTTCTGGTTCCTTGCGGAGAGTGCCGCTCTCGGCTCCGAGCAAACCCAGATCGGAGCTACCACTTAAGGATAAGATTGAATACACAACACGCTAATAAGCATACCATTGAAAGTGTATATTCTGATCTATGATGTATCAATAGACTCGAACACTCGTTTTAGTAAGGTAATCATGTGGCTGATGTTCCTCATGCTGGTTCTTGGCTGATGTTCCTGGGCTTGCTCCTGAACAAATCAATCAATGCCTTACCCTCTCACCCTTCCACTGGCTCGCGCCGTCCTCACGGGTCGCCCCCGCGCGCGGCTTCGACTATCCATCCGGCGCCTCGGCACGGCGGAAAATGCCCCCAAGCGTCAAGTAGCTTGGGCGAAGGCGACAGGAGTCAAGCAGCTTCGGTGAATCTGGTGAAGCCCGGTGAACTGGGTCTTGAGAGTCACACTCTAGGGACCCCAAAAGGGGGTTGGGGGTTCGGATTCCATCAATCTGCCCAAGCCATGATGGGCTGGTGTGATACCATCGAAATCTCTAAGATGCGTCTTATAACAATGACGTATTAATGATCCTAAGTGACTGATGCGCTTCTGCCCAAGACGTAACTCATTCTCAGCTTTTTCACATGATCCGAGTTCTTGGCCCTCCAGGATGCCCACGGTGCATGGGGTCTTCCACCGTTCCTCCAGCCCAAGCGCCCAAGGCGCCGGTCGCCGCTCATGGCGCTGGCTCGGGCCCCGGTGCTCGGTCGCCCGGTGTTGAAGAGTCGATGGGTTGATGACGGTCCAGGTCCATAGGGGTGAATGTGTTGAACCCAGTAACTGTTACTGTTTGGGGCCAAAAGACGGATAGGATTCTGGAGGATCTTGAGAATATCCATCTTAGTTGACTATCAAATGATCAAGGGTTGAAGGATGATGAAGCAAGTGGTGGCGTGAATCCTAACAAAGTTGGGCATGGAAGTCGGTCCATCATCTGGCCCAGCTTTGTTTAGGGCGGGGCCACCTTATAGATGGAACATCAACCGATTGGACCGAAAAAAGAAGGCCATCAACTCGCTGAACAGGACTCGGGTGAACTCCCGGCAAATCCTCTGCGGTGCGTGTGGAGTCAAACGAGTGCATGCGAGGGGAAGTCTTTCTCTTGGAAGTGGCCTCTATCTAGCTGGATCTTCGTGTCTCTTGATCTGTGCTTCATGCACTTGAATAACAACCCATGTACTACCGGATGTTATCTTGCAAGGATCAAACACATGTCCAAAACACCATGGTCCCATGACTCTCCAAACAAATTGACGTTCGGGAGCATGTCTTAAGTCACATCTATGTGCCCCCCAAGAAAAAAAATCACGAGTCCCAAACTGTCATACATCCTCATACACCTTAGCCCGTCCTAGATCCTTGCCTTCAAGCTGATTCAAGCCAAAGGTGCTGCCAACACATCGCACAGCTCCATGTTTGGTACACCCTTCAAATGACAATCTTTGTTGAAGATGTGCATCCATCAGTGATGCCCCCCAAATCGAAGCCCTTCAAAGGACGAGCACATGACTCGACGGACGGACAGGGGTAGTTGTAACTTTGGGACTGTCTGGGACGGCTGTTTGTTGGTCCAAAGCTGCAATCGCTGCAATCCACAACGGTCTTCAAAAGAAACACCCCAACAGAATTCGCGCTCAGTTCTTCGACACTTTTCGCTCTGTGCACAGTTCGATGGTCAAACACCAAGTGAATCCGGAATGGCAACTGTTGGCGTGCTGGATGTTTGCTTCTCGCGAGTGCTACAGGCATTGAAGTCCCAATAACTGTATTATATATATATATAATATATCCACCCCCAAAAAACTAGTGCCAACCTAATGGCAAAATACACATATTCCCTCTTGTGTTCAGGAACGGGGACAGTCATTGGCCAACCTACTACTATGGCTCCAACCATGTCCTCAGGAGCTGGTTAGAACCCCCAACCCCAACCCAAAATTCTCAGGAGGTAGTTGGAGCCCTAGGGAACAAACATGACCACACAGATTTGGCACGCAGGTTGCGGCCGCCTTTTTCTACGCCACGGGCAGAACTATCAGTACTTTTGGGGCGCAAGATTGACCTTTGGCCACGTCTGCGCAACTCTACGTGTACGTGTACGTGAACTGGATGCTACTGGGTTGGAGACCTTCATGATGTTTAAAATAGGTTCATACCCATTGCCATATATAGATAGATCTACATATCAGGCATGTCCAAGTTGCTTTCGACCATGCAAATTCCGCGTGATCTAGTAGATGTGAGGTCATTGAAGGCAAATAGACCGTCTGCTTCCAAGACTGCTTCTCCCGGCACTCCAACCGCCGAGCCGACGGAGCCTGTCCGCCTCGGACCGGTCCGGGGGTGCAAGGAAGCGTTGAAACATGTGGATCCAGCTATTGTATCCATGTGGATCCAGCTATAGCTGGTCCAGCTATTTGTGGCGTTTGTGAAACGGACTGGTCACAAACCCGCAAGACTGGTCACAACAGTATGGATTCAGGACTGGGCGGCCATCGACAAGTATGGCGGCCTCAGATTTCTTAACTGGTTCAAAACCACCTTTTCTCCCCCCGCCTTTGGGTCAGAGGATGTCAGAGGCACTTGTCGCTGGAAAACCCCAACCATACCCACCCCCGGTACCCGCGCTTCGCTTCGCTTCCGCGCGGTCGCCGCGAAGAAGCGCGCGGTCCACGGCGCGACCCCTCGCCTCACGAGATGGCCAAGCGCATGTGCGGCGACTTGATGCGTCCCAAATTCACGAAGACGCAGCCTCGATCGGCTGCCAGCGCTCGGAAGACGGAATCCGTGGAGTGCGTGGGCTCGGCCCGACGAAGGCGAGACCAGGTGGGGCGTTCGGGGTTAGGGAAAGGAAAGGTCTGAGCACTTCTCCTGTATGACAGAACCGCCCCGTTGACAATTCTGTTCAGTCTTGAAGTTAACGATTTTGCAGGTCAAACACCAAGCGTCGCCTTTGCAAAAACTCTGGGAACCCTGCTTTGGATTTTGGGGACAGAAACTACTACATGGACCAGCGAGACACATATGTTCTCGTGAATTCTATATGCTTGAAGTGTGCTTTGAAGCGTTTGAAGAGCAAAAGGAATGAATCAGGAGAGGCAAAACAGCAAGGAACACCAAATGATCACGACAGAGATCCAAAGAAGGTTCGACATAAGATGACATAAGCTCTACGTGCATTTGTGTACTTTCGTGTCCACATATTCCGGAAAACCTAGAACATCACTGACTGACTCCTACATCTGTTCAGGGTCATCAGCATGGCCGATCTATGGCTATACGCTCTGATTCACTCACATGGAAGTGGCAAATGGTCGCTTGGACAACGACTCTCCTCTAAGAGAAAGGATGGAGAACCTCCACTTCCATCTTAGTGAGTCAGAGTGAGTCTTACATGGCAGCAGTAGATGGGTGAAAGCTGGGAAAAGCCGCGTGCATCATATCCCGTAACGTCCGTAGCAGCCTCATTCAGACCAGAAGCTGGGCGTCTGACTGCTCAACCGCTCGAAGGGGTTCCGTTGCTTCCAGGGCTCCTTCTTCGCATCGCGGGCAGCGCCGTCCATGAAGGAGAAGGCCTTCGCTGCGAGGTCCGGCCCACGACCCCATCCTCTTCAGCCAAACCGCACTCCACACGCCTACAAACACGTCTCCTACAGGCACGCTTCGGGCACTGAAGCTTCGTGTCGCACAGGTCCGACCCCCGAATGGACCTCAGTCCGGGGCTATGGCCGTGAACATGTGTTTCCCCACACTGGTGATGTTCACCACACATGTTTCACCGGCTTTCGGAAGCGCCGTGGTCTTCACCGACGGAGCCGGTTCCGGGTCTCCTTCTACGCCGGGTCTCCGAAGACCGCGGCCACGCGCAGACATTCCGTGTGTGCCTTGCGCCCGGAAAGCTCAGCGTGCTGCTCCTTGATGAACTTCAAAAGCTCCTCCCAAAGATTCTACTTAGTTTTTTCCCGCTCGAGACTTTCAACGAGTCTTTCTGGAAGCGCTGGAAGTTAGGCCCGGAATCCCCGAACTTCTGTTCGCCTGGACCCGGTGGTTTTTTGAGGAGCTTGCTTGCATGGGATCAACTCAGCAAAGCACAATGGTACTTGGAGGTAGCTGATGGGATCAAATGCCGTTTCACTTGACCAATTCTGAATTTACCAT